TGACTAAAATTTCAGACTTATACAGGGTTAAACACAATTTTTTTTTCAAACAGCCAGTGGAAAAGACCCCCATGTCACAGAGTGCCAATTGCATAGATTTATATTAAAAAAAAACATTGTAGTATTTGTGAATAAAATGTGCTCATCTGGTGTTCAGACCCTTAAGTTGTCAATACACACTTCTCGTCTGGTGGGTTATCAGCGTCATGTGTCATTATGCAAAATAGTGCCCTCGTAAACCACCAATACCAGTTCACACACATTCGCAGACTCAAGGCATGAATTTTCTTAGCTTCTTATTCTGGTGCAGAGACAAAAAAAAAAGGGAGAGGCAAAAAGGGGTGCAGAAGTCTAATTTAGGGGACAGGTGTTGAGAGTCCTTGGAGACCACACTTGGCTCTTTCACCATTAGTGAAGATCCTGGAGATCGACACAGGATATATGAGGTTAGTGAGTTTTATCCGCTAGCCTGAGGGGGTTGGGGAGTTTGTGAAGGGAGAAGAATGTCTCCAGACTGACACTGCAGCCAGGCACACTGTGTTTAAATCAGTGTCTTTAAGAATTAGGAATGTCCCGCTGTTAGAGAGTCGAGTATCTTGACTAATGGACACTCATTAAAACTACTACAATGAATAACACAATGAGTTTAAATGTTCCAAGTAGACTCATTGCTAATAATAATGCTGTCATGTTTCTACTAATCATATCATATGTCTCAAATCTAACTATCTGGCTATCTATACATCTATTTATTTATTGTTCCATCCATTCATCCATCTAAAAATCTATTCATCTATCCATCCATCCAACTATCTATCCATCCATCTACCTATCATGTTCATCGTCCATCCATCCATCTATAGCTCCATCTATATCGATCCAACCATCCATTCATCTATGTAACAATCCATGCATTCTGCATCCTTCCATCCAACTATCTATCCATCCATTTACCTATCTATGGTCCAATCAATCCACCCATCCATCCGTCCATTAATCTATGGTTATATCTATTTATTGTTCCATCCATCCAAACATCCATGCATCTAACAATCCATGCATCCATTCATTCAACTATCTGTTCATCCACCTATCTATTGCTCTATCCATCCATCCAACTATCTATCCATCCATCATCTATCCATTTTTCTAGTTTCATCTATTTAATGTTCTATCCAACCATCCATTCATCTATTTAACAATCCATACATCATCCATCCATCCATAAATCTATAGTTCAATTTGTTTCATCCTTCCAACCATGCATCCATCTAACAATCCATCCATCCATCCATCCATCCAACTATCTATCCATCCACTTATATTGTCCTATGGATTCATCCATCCATCCATCTCTTCGTTCGTTCGTTCTTTCATCCATCCATCCATCCATTCATCCATCAATAGTTCTATTTATTGTTTCATCCATCTAACCATCCATCCAACTATATTTCCATTCATCTACCTATCTATTGTCCTACCTATCCATCCATCCATCCATCCATCCATCCATCCATGCATTCATCCATCCATAGTTTTATCTAATTACTGTTTTTTCCATCCAACCATTTATTCATCTATCTAACAATCCATGCATCTATCCATCCATCCATCCATCTATCCATCCATTCATAGTTATATAGATTTATTGTTCCATCCAACTATCTAACAATACATCATCCAACCATCCATCTATAGTTCTATTTATTTGTTTCATCCAACTATCCATCCATCCATCCATCCATCCATCCATCCATCCATCTTTCCATCCACCTATCTATTATCCGATCAATTCATCCATCTATTTATTCATTATATTAATCTATCTATCCATCTACCAACCTATCATTCCACTCATCCATTCATTCATCTATCCATCCATCCATCCATCCATCCATCATAAAAACCATATAAAATCAGTTTTTGCAGCAAAATTGTCAGTCAAAAGTTGACGAACAAAGGTGCATAAACAGCAGATGAAAATGGCAAGCATAAAAGAACATTTACCACGCTGACTAAACTGATGTCAGTCGACTAGAAGCAACCAATGCCCCATCCATTAAGCTTGCTGCAGTCAGGCCATGAATAAAACAAATCCTCAACCTTTGCAAAGTTTGACGTTGAACTGTTTTCCATAAAAGAAACCTAGGCACATTTTGCACATCACAGCAAAACTGAAAAGACAAGTGGTAATATTCAGTCCATTTTAATGTCTGACATCAGAGACCTAGTTTTGCTTCGAGTCGCAGGTGGAGACAACGCAAGACACATTCTCAGAGGACACAGTTTGACTAAATAAAAAAATATAAATAAACAATTAAATGTAAACAAAGCTGTAAAAGGTAGCATGGTGGCTCAGTGGTTAGCACTGTCACCTCACAGCAAGAAGGTCACTGGTTCAAGTCTCGGCTGGGACAGGTGGCGATTTTGTGTGGAGTTTGCATGCTCTCCCCTTGTTGGCATGGGTTTCCTCCAGGAGTTCCGATTTCACCCACAGACCAAAGACACGCACTAAAGGTGAACTAAATTGTGTGTGTGTGTGTGTGTGTGTGTGTGTGTGTGTGTGTGTGTGTGTGTGTGTGTGTGTGTGTGAATGAGTGTGTGCGTGTGTGTGTGTGTGAATGAGTGTGTTAATGAGTGTGTGCCTGTGTGTGTGAATGAGTGTGTGAATGAGTGTGCATGGGTGTTTCCCAATACAGGGTTGTGCCTGGAAAGGCATCTGCTGCGTAAAACATATGGTGGAACATATCCTGGAACAGTGCTGGAACATGCTGGAACTAAGCCACAAGAAAATGAATGAATGAAATCTGTAAAAAAAAAAATGCTAATATAAATAATATAATAAATGACATTATAATTTTTATTTACATTTTCATATTTATTCATACATTTATTTATTTATTTACCCTTTTATTAATTTTCATTTATATTTTTACATATTTCTTTCATTATTGTTTTTATATTTTCTTTGGTCATTTTATTTTTTTTAATCCTACTAATAATAGCTAAATTAAAGGCATGTGACTATGTAAAGAAAAAATTAAAATAGTTACATATCAAAATACATAAATAAATGCTCAAAGAAAACTTAAAAATAAATATTTGACATTTTATATCCATATTTATGTATTATATATATATATATATATATATATATATATATATATATATATATATATATATATATATATACATATTTCATTTATTTATTTATATAAACTTGCTGGCTTCTTTATTAGGTACACCTAACAAGTACCAGGTTGCACCCCCTTTTGCCTTCAGAATTGCTTTAATCGTTTGAGGCATAGATTTAACAAGGTACTGGCAATATTACCCAGAGATTTTGGTCCATATTGACATGATAGCATCACACAGTTGCTGCAGATTTGTCGGCTGCACATCCATGATGCGAATCTCCCGTTCCCCCACATCTCAAAGGTGCTCTATTGGATTGAGTCTGATGACTGTGGAGGCCATTTGAGTACAGTGAACTCATTGTCGTGTGATTCACGTTTTATGACATGGCGCATAATCCAGCTGGAAGTAGCCATGAGAAGATGGGTACACTGTGGTCATAAAGGGATGGACATGGTCAGCAACAATACTCAGGTAGGTTGTGGAGTTGACACAATGCTCAATTGGTACTAATGAGCCCAAAGTGTGCCAAGAAAATATCCCCTACACCAGTGGTTCTCAAACTGTGGTGCGTGTACCACTAGTGGTACGCGGGTTTCCTTCTAGTGGTACGCGGAGGAATGAAATATGTCATGTACATGCTACACAGATTTCAAAATTTATCAAAAATAATGTATATAATATGTCATATATGACACATAGCCTATATTTTTAAGGTAATCTGCCACTTTTTTTTTAACTGTGCAGAGGTATAGTTGCTTTACTAGGCCTACTACGCTATTGTATTTCAATACTGCTCATTTTGGTGGTACTTGGCGTGACAATTTTTTTCTGAGGTGGTACTTGATGAAAAAAGTTTGAGAACCACTGCCCTACACTATTACACCACCACCACCAGCCTTAACCATTGATGGCAGGATGGATCCATGCTTTTATGTTGTTGACGCCAAATTCTGACCCTACCATCCGAATGTCACAGCAGTAAGAGAGACTCATCAGACCAGGCAACGTTTTTCCAATCGTCTATTTTCCAATTTGGTGAGCATGTTCAAAGTTTAGTCTCAGTTTCCTATTCTTAGCTGACAGGAGTGGCACCCGGTGAGGTCTTCATCTGCTGTAGCCCATCCACCTCAAGGTTCTACATGTTGCGTCTTCAGAGATGCTCTTCTCCATACCTTCATTGTAACGAGTGGTTATTTGAGTTACTGTCGCCTTTTTATCAGCTGGAACAAGTCTGGCCATTCTCCTCTGACCTCTGGCATCAACAAGGCATTTGCGCCCACAAAACTGCCACTCACAGAATATTTTCTCTTTTTCTGACCGTTCTCTGTAAACCCTAGAGATGGTTGTGCATGAAAATCCCAGAAGAACAGCAGTTTCTGAAATACTCAGACTAGCCCGTCTGGCACCAACAACCATGCCACGTTCAAAGTCACTTAAATCAGCTTTCTTCCCCATTCTGATGCCCGGTTTGAACAGCAGTCTTGATCATATTTACATGCCTAAATGCATTGAGTTGCGGCCACATGATTGGCTGATTAGAAATTTGCGTTAACAAGCAGTTGGACAGGTGTACCTAATAAAGTGGCCGTATAGTGTATGTTTGTTTTTTATTTTACGATATTTGTACATTGAATTATTAATTTGCATATTTCTAATTTAGTCAGTCTTGGCATTCCATATGTGATGTGTACGAGCTCAGACTGTGTAATTCAGTCCGACATGCCGATGCTTGCCTGAACATACTAATTGATTACAAATCCTACATTAAGGAGCGTCAGCATGTTCCTCACAGATTGTGATGAATAAACAGTGCACTCAACCTGCTGTCAGCCCAAAATACAAAAAAAAAAGATGAGACAAACCTCTCTCTGTGTTAGGGACTCCCAAGTGGACTGTGGGGATAATTGAGTCTGTGACGTCACTGTAGTATTCCAGCGAGGCAGCATCTTTTTCCCATGTCTGTTTAACTATAGGAACTGAAGATAAATACTGGATTAGACGTACTTTAGACTATAAGAGTGATGAATGAAAGATAAGCAGTAAATAATATTCAGCAAATACCTTTGCTAAAATGGCATCCTGCGTTAAATTAGCAGATGTTTAACCTGCACTGATATTTATGATCTTTTTCACCACACTCAAATGATGCAGCATTTAATACTACCTTGAGACTGTTTATAAAAGCAAACTCTAAACATAATCATGCAAATCGATGCAATTATGCCTGACCAGCTGCAAAATGTAATTTCTCCTGGAATATAAAATAGCATTTATACCTGTCCTATTATACAGAGGAGGGAGACTAGAAGAGGGGAATGTTAAGAGAGCTGTCAATGTTTGTGAGTGCAAAGTCTCAGCAAAGCCATGATGGGAACTTTCAATCAATATAATCAATTCGCTGTCACTTACGAACATCCTGTGTGGGCTGAGAAGCTACTGTATATTGACAGCCATAATTATTCCTATTTATTAGTGCCTATTTGTAATCTTGAGAGAGAGAGAGAGAGAGAGAGAGAGAGCATGGTTTGATGGGCTCTTTTGTGCTTTGCTGAATCACATGCTTTACTTTTTAATTAAGGCTGAACGATCCAATCCATCTTAAACACACTGTCTAATTTAAATAAAAGCTAAGCTAACTAAAACAGACAGTTATACATATTTATAACAAGGAAATACTAAAATCTGAGTTTGCATTCACCTGAAACTGGAATAAAATTTGATATGATGTTGCATTTTATGTTTACTCATTTAGCAGAAAAGCAACTTACAATGAAGATTAAAAACTATTTCACATTAGCGAAGAGAGAAACATATCATGTGAGATAATGAAAGGATAATCGCACGCATACTGTTAACGTTAGGTCCATTAATAATCTGTTCAAAACGGTTAAAGCAAAAGTGGCAAGCGCTGCTGCTTACAAAAAAATCTTAGAAAGCAGCACTGTGGGTGCACGAGTGCCGCTTTTTTCCAGTCCATTTCAAAGAGAAATTACTGCACCGGTTTTCAGGCACGGTTGCTTTGCGCACGGAAATGTTTCATAAGAGTTTTTAGCTGTGCACACGACACACTAAAGCCCTCGTCAGGAGCCCTAAAGCCTCTCATTGTGCGCCTGATCATCCTCTCATTCGGTATTCACCTGCTTTCTTTTGTGCGCATGAACAATTATCAGGCAGAAAAGCTTATTCAGGCTTTCATGACCTCTCAATTAGATTATTGTAATGCGTTACTAGGCAGTTGCCCTGCTGGCCTAATTAACAAACTTCAGCTAGTTCAAAATGCAGCTGCTTGAGTGCTTTCTAGAACAAAGAAATATAATCATATTGCTCCAGTTTTGTCATCATTGCATTGGCTCCCTATTAAATATCATATGAATGTTTTATCGACTACCTACAAAGTCCTGAACGGCTTAGCTCCCAAGTATTCGAGGGAGTTCCTGGTGTATTATAGCCTCATGTCCTCTACGATCAAATAATTCTGGACAATTGATTATTCCCAGAATATTATAATCAACTGTAGAAGGTAGATCTCGTATCTGGCACCTAAACTGTGGAACAGCCTTCAAAGCACAGTTCGGGAAGCAGACACATTATGTACATTGAAAACTAGATTAAAGACACATCTCTTTGCATTGGCATACACATGGCCATGATTTGAGCTTTGTGATTTGAGCTTCATGATTTGAGCTTCATGATTTGAGCTTCGTGATTTGAGCTTCATGATTTGAGCTTCATGATTTGAGCTTCATGATTTGAGCTTCGTGATTTGAGCTTCATGATTTGAGCTTCTTGATTTGAGCTTCGTGATTTGAGCTTCATGATTTGAGCTTCGTGATTTGAGCTTCATGATTTGAGCTTCATGATTTGAGCTTCATGATTTGAGCTTCATGATTTGAGCTTCATTATTTGAGCTTTATGATTTGAGCTTCGTGATTTGAGCTTCTTGATTTAAGCTTCATGATTTGAGCTTTATGATTTGAGCTTCGTGATTTGAGCTTCATGATTTGAGCTTCGTGATTTGAGCTTCATGATTTGAGCTTCATGATTTGAGCTTCATGATTTGAGCTTCGTGATTTGAGCTTCGTGATTTGAGCTTCTTGATTTAAGCTTCATGATTTGAGCTTTATGATTTGAGCTTCATGATTTGAGCTTTATGATTTGAGCTTCGTGATTTGAGCTTCTTGATTTAAGCTTCATGATTTGAGCTTTATGATTTGAGCTTCGTGATTTGAGCTTCTTGATTTGAGCTTCATGATTTGAGCTTCATGATTTGAGCTTCATGATTTGATCTTTATGATTTGAGCTTCATGATTTGAGCTTCATGATTTTAGCTTTATGATTTGAACTTCATGATTTGAGCTTAAAAAATAATAGTTTGCATTGGCCAAAAGCAATTAAATATTGGTTGAATAGGGAAGAAATGGGAAATGGGGAAGAAATTGGCCAATACCTGAAGTCACACTGATTTGACAGTCATCAGATGATTTGGCTTGGTCTTAAAGCCCTTTCCAATGGCTTATTTTCACAATTTATAATGGTGTAGCAGTCAAAATAGGACTAATGAGCTTATGTATGGGACAAATTCTGGACCTTTGTCATTGAGGGGTGACAAAAGGGTAGCCCCCCTGGCTACGGGTCTGAGACTATTCAAATTAATAAAATTAAATAACAGACTATATAAAAATTTATTATATATAAAATGCAGTTTATATTTTTATGCTACAAACTTTTCATTAATTGATGTTTGTCACCGCATCTCCAGTGCCTAGTTTTTTTTTTAAGCCAAAAAATAATGCTCTTTTCCTTCACCTTTCTTTTCTTTATACAGTTCCTCCCCAGTTTAATAATGAACATATAAATTTCCCATCAGACACAAAAAAAATTGACCCTTTGATTTTAATCTTTTTTGAAATATGGTCTGACCTCACTCACCTCTATCTCTGTGAAATCTTTGGCATGTTTTAACAGCAACAAAGACGTCCTCCTTCAGCACAGGTTTTCCCTATGAAAAAGAGACATTTCAAGCAATTCATTGTACGCTATCATCCAAAGCCTGGGAGTTACAGTATTTGGGTTAAAACCTGAGTACCTCCTGTTCCTACTTTAAGACGTAGCAGGACTTCCATTAAGTTATTACAGAATGTCTGTGTGTCAGCTCTGAGAGGACACTTTGTAAAGGTGGCTCATTTTGAGAAATATGAACTCATAGGCCTTTGATTTTCATTCGAACTCAGAAAAGAACAGCAAATGCGAAAAGCCACAAGCTGGAATTTGGCGTTCACTTTTGAAGACTGTCATTTATTAGGGCATTAGAGGGGGGAATGCAATGACAACTGACTGTGCAATATTAATCCGGCCCGGCTTTCTCTTTTGGCAGCTTCTTCTGTACAGAACAGTTTGTCATAGTTTCATTAATTCACGTGGCTGAGAGCTTGTATAAACCTCTTTGAACAATAGCAGGAGGTGCGCTCGTGTTTATAGTACTTACACAAGCCGATAAGTAGGTGTTGACGGCTGTAGCACAGCATTTTGCGGAGGACGAGCCGTGAAGCTCTGAACAAAACTCATTCACTGCAGTCAAAGTAGGACCTCTCCCTTCCTCCCAAATGTAGAGGGCAATCTAGAACATCAATAAGAGGAGCAAAGAATGAGTTATTATCAATCAAACAATCAATATCTGGTAAAAGAGTGGAGAAAAGAGACAAATTATAACACTCCAGTGCAAAGAACTAAGCACTTCAGAGAAAAGGCTTCTCTTCTTTGTTTTATTTTAAAGAAGAATTTACCATTACTGTAATCATTTGTTCACCTTTCACTTATGGAATATAAATGGGACAATTAAAACAATGCTTAGACTGCACTTTTCAATACAATATTAACCTTTATGTACTGTTGGAGATGTTTTCATCCACATTAGGGTGGTATTGAGTCTTAATTTGGCCAAAATGTTTCGGTAACACTTTAGAATAACTATCCATTATAACTAGTTAATAAATCAATAATAAATTCTTAGTTAATGGGTTATAAATGACTTGTTAAATAAAAGTTAATAGTTTGTTAATTGTTTATAACTGTGCCTTATAGATAGCCAAGAGATAACTTTCAAGCTGTTAGTTAAACTGTTAGTTATAAATGACGTGTTAACTGTATTTGAATGATTTATAGCTATACCTAATAAATTAGTAATTGATCATGAACAAGCTGTTAGTAAATTACTAAAGACCTGTTAAGTATCAGTTAATAGTTTATATACGTTATTGGGACGTTGTTCTAGTTGCAATTATTCTTCATTTATTAACTGTTAGTAAATGAGGAATAGTTGCAACTTTAGAATAACATCCCAATAACACACATAAGCTAATAACTAACACTTAACTAATATATTAGCTCACACTTTACAGATCAGTTGTTCATAGTTCGTTTACCATCTACTAATACCAGTGAAACTTTGTAGAACTTTGCTAATAAAAGATTTTTTTATTTATTTTGTTTTCATGTTTAACCTCATGGGTTTGTATTCTGTTGTATACTGCTGTTCTGCCATGTGATGGCTCAGTATGTGTTTCTATACATTAAACACAACGTTCAACATTTCATCTGTGGAGTTTCTTTGGTAAAATACAGCACACAGAAAAGCCTTTGAGTGGAACAAGGTTAAGGTACAAAAATGTTATATTTTAAATATTTAAATATTAAAAAATAATTTAAATATTTATATATTTAAATAATTTCTGTAGCTTGAACTTGTTCCATTCATTTGCTGTTCTACAAAGTTTCACTGGTGTTATTAGATGGTTAACAAACTATGTACAACTGATCTGTAAAGTGTGAGTTAATATAGCCTTTGCTTTCTAAAGCTGTCGTTAATCAAATGCGTTTTTGCATTAACTTTTTACTTGAGCCTACTTTAGCTTGGCTTCGCAGCTGACTGCGGACGCACGGTCGCAAGAGCGAGAGAAACATTCAATAATTCATTCTTTAATCTAAAAGAATCTTTGCTAAATACTCAGAACAAAATGACTGATCTAAACTGGCTGCAAAATATATGTTCACCATTAGTAATGGTCAATTAACGCATCTGCCTTATTTAAATGATCTACATGTTTTAATCTTGTAAATATTATAATTTTGAGATATTGTCTGTTTTTGTTCCTTTTTCTGTCATTTATTTCTCATTTGCTGCATATTTTATTATTTTAATGATGTCATTAGCCTATATTACATAGGATATTTTTTATATAGATATTATGCATTCAGGCTTGCTTTGAACTTGAGAGAGAGAGAAAAGCAGATTGCACCTGTCAGTGGGTGCACATGGCTCCTGAATAGCATAAAAGTAAGAGAAATAGGGGATGTCTTTTTTATTTCACCTGTCTTTTTCAACTTTGATATTGAAAAGACAGTTAATAATGTCCTAATAAATAAAATTATTGTTAAAAATTCAATTGTTTTGTTTGTTGCCTATAGTTAACTATTTATGTGACGTGGGTAAATGTGTTTCAATCTGTCTACCACCGCAAGCATATTTCATACCTGTGGGAAGCACTGCAAATACATGGACAGTTTCCAACTGAAAATCATTTAAGCAGACAAACTGAGAAACATTCTTATTAAAATGTCATTTTATTTACAAGTTTATTTCTATAGCGCTTTTACAATGTACATTGTGTCAAAGCAGCTTAACACACAAGTTCTAGTAAATTGAAACTGTGTCAGTCCAGTTTTCAGAGTTCAGTTCAGTTCAGTTCAGTGTGGTTTAAATTTCACTGCTGAAAGTCCAAACACTGAAAAGCAAATCAAGCATCATGTGGTGCAAAAACAAGAATAACGATAATCACATGTTGTTTTTTAATAGCAATAATACTTAAAGTATTATTCAAATAATTCAACTGTTGCTGACCCTAACTTTCGAAGGGTTGTATTTTTTAAAATAGGATTTGGGATTCACAAAAACTTTTTTTTTAGTCTTTTGCCTAAAAAAATATATCAATTCTAATTATTATATTTCTTAAACAGTTTTTGTTGCTTATACAGGAATTTATCCTGTTGATATCTGTTTTATGTACTTTGCATGCATTCTCAGTCATTTCTCTTTAAAAGAAAACATTTCAGAGAAGTATCTTGTTACCATGGTTACAGTAGATTGTTTATCGCATCATTTAGAACGCGTTCCAAGCTTCAGTGCGTTTGTGGTATTGGTATTTAATGGTTGTGGTAGTGGTTTTAGTAGAATTTTTCATTGATATTAACGTTGAATTACAATCATTTTAACAATCCACGGTGCAAGACCGAGATTGTTGACATTGCAAGACCAAGACTGCCACCACAAACTACTAAACTTGAGAAAAAAGCACAACAATGGGAGAAATCAGGAAAAAGAGGTTATTTAAATTACCCTTTTTTCTGAAAGTCAACAAAGTGCCGGAACACTGCCGTGGTGAGTCATGTTTACACTGGAATTCTATTTTTCAGGGGTTTCCCTGATTTAAGATTAGTTAAGCCCTTTTCCGTCCAGTTTTGGGCGGTGTAAGCTCATGGTAGACCTAATATTGACAAACCTTAAAGGATTAGTTCACCCAAAAAGTTTAATATTGTTATTAATTATTCTCCCTTATGTAGTTTAAATCCCCTGGGACTTTCGTTAATCTTCTGGACACAAATTAAGATATTTTAATTAATTTTATTTTAGAATTCGAGATGTAATTCTCCATGGTTCATAGACAGACATGAGAAGTTAAAAAAATTCTGTGCATTAATTAATATAACCAAGCACAACTTTTAATAACGCGTTAGTAAATGTAGAACTGTGATTAATGAATGCTGCTGTTTGTTCTTGTTAGTAAATACATTAACCAGTTAAACTGTTGACAGTGTAATGGTTTAGCTACTACAATGTAAAGAAATATGGATGCCTAAAATTTTTAAACTGAATCAAATTAACCTTATGAGTCCATTGAACTTATATTATGTTAAACTGACTTGCATAACTCATGAAATTAAGTTAAAACATGATTAACTTAGTTTAATATGTTACAATGATATAAAAACATATGCTGTCAGGACTAAATGATTATACCATTGTTTACAGTGTACAAAAAACATGTTCGTTTTCTTTATTTCTTTTTTTGTAATATTTAAAAGTTTTTTGTTTTATCTGAAGTAAAGCCATGGTAAATTTAATAACACTAATATGTTATTTATTAATAGAAACTCTACTTAAAATAATTATATTATTCAAATAATTCAAGAATTGCTGAATTCAGTGCATTAACTAATATTAACAAGCACAACTTAATTAACAATGCATTAGTAAATGTAGAACTGTGATTAATAAACGCTGTAAGAGTATTGTTCATTCTTGTTTCATGTTGGTAAATACATTAACCAGTTAAACTATTAGTAGTGTAGTGAAACAGTGGATTCATGATAACAAAACCATTATCTTTTTCTTTATTTCTTTTTTGTTTATAATATTAAAATGCTTTTGTTTTATCTGAAGTAAAAACATGGTAAATGTTCATGAGAAATGTTATAAAAATATATAAATGTTAATTTCCTCTCAAATGTGTGGAAAAGTGTTTCAATAACAATCATTTCTCTTTTAACAGTTATTGAGGAGAAGACGAAGAAAAGGAGCCGACTGGGGTCTTTCCTCAAATGTATAAAGAAACACCTCAGGATCTCCTGCCTCACATCCAATAAAGAGGATGGGAAGGAGGATGAGAAGATGGATAATGAAGAAGAGGAAGAGCAGAAACGGCTCCCTATCTTACTAGACTTTGACTCTGATGGTAAATGAACATACAAACATGAATATATTAGTCTATTATAGTATTTATAAATTGTATTCTTTGCTTCCCCTTACATACATTCAACATCTTAATGACTGTGTAAAATGTTCAACCACTTCATTTCTCTTTTAACAGATGACTTCCTGCACTCAACAAGTGAGCCTCATCTCATCATAGTTACAGCCATGATTCATAGAGAGCCTAGTGTGAAAGAGGATGGAGATCGAGAGGAGGAGGAGCTTAAAGAAGAGGGGGTGAAAGAGAACAAGAAGAAAAGGAGAAGGAGAAGAGAGAAAGAGGAGGAGAAAATGGAGGAGACACTGATGGAAAAGAAGGAGGTGGAAGACAAGATTATGGAGGAGGAAAGGATTAAAGAGGACGATGGAAGGAAAGGGACTATGAAAATAGAGGAGAAGATGGAGGAGACAATGATGGAGAAGGAGGAGGAGGAGGATGAGGGCAAGTTGAAGGAGGGGAAGAAGAAGCGAGGGAAAAGGAGAAGGAGCAGGAGGAAAGAGGAGAAGAAAAATGAGCAGAAGGACATGAAAATGACTGAGATGGAAGAGGAGGAAGCAATAAAAGAGTAACAGAAAAAAGAAAACAAGCAGCAGGATGAGATGAAGGTTGATGAGAAGGAGAAGGATGACATGATGATGGAGGAGAAAGGAGAAAAACAATAAAAAACAATAAAAAAATTTGTCTGTTTGTTTTTTTTTATCTGCTCGAATATCTGTTTAAATATGCACTCTTTTGTGTCTGGTGTTGAAAAAACACACAAACAAATTATTTTTTTTTAAAGAAAATCAGTAGCAGGAAGAGCAGAAGGATGAGGAGGAGAAGTAAAATGGGGAGGATGAGATGATGATGGGGGAAACATTGAAAAAGTGCATTAAAAATCTTTTTGTTTCTTGGTTTTGTTTAACACATGGTCATGACAAGTGAGGATGCAACCATGCTCTGTAAAAGAAAATCGTATCATCCCATTGAAATCTTATTTTGAAATACATTTTGAGAAAATGCTTTGATTTTTTTTTATTTACTATACTTTTGTTATATTAGGGATAAAATTATTCACTGAATTGTAAAAATGTATCATATAAATATATTTATTTTTTTAAGTTTGCATAAATCTGTTAATCAATGTCAAAACTACTGAATTACTACTGAACTGACATAATTTCTTAACTTGGCAATTAAAGAGTTAAAATCCTCTAATTCTCTAAACAATTTAGTAGTTTTGATCAGGACTGAGGTTGATTAACAGATTTATGCAAAGAAATTTAAAATATATATATATATTAATCTGATGCATTTTTTCAGCAGTTAAATGCAATGGATGTTTTCATCCCTAACATAACAACAGGGTAGTCAATTTGAACAGTGCACAGGGGTTAAAGGGTTAGTTCACACAAAAATGAAAGATTTCCTTACCATTTACTTACACTCAAGTGATTCTAAACGTTTATGGTTTTCTTCTGTTGAATATCAAACAAAACAAGAATATTAGAAAAAAAAGCTGTCATTGACTATCATAGTAGATAATAACAAATACTGTGGAAATCAATGGTTGCTTTTTTCCTTATTTCTTCAGTATATCTTCCCTTGTGTTCAACAAAAGAAACTCAAACTTGTTTGGATCAAGTGGTTTGATGACAAAATTTTCATTTTGTGGTGAACTAGCTCTTTAAACTTGGTGTAAAATCAAATTTAATATGTATATTTTGCTAGAACACAATTTAAAGTTTAGGTGAACAATTCAAGTGTTTTAGTAATCTTCAATCAAATTCTGACTATTTGCTTCTGCGTTAGGATTGACATTTTTCTGTTGACGGCTTTAGCCACAAAATTCTTAATCCTTTTTTTTTTTTTAAACCATGGCTTTCACTTTAAACTGGTTTAAACTGCATATAATGTTGTTTAAAACAGAAATGATTACCATTAGTTTGCTACAAGGCAATAATACGCAAAAAAGAAAGATCCTCCCTTACTCAATATTCCATTTCTGATGGAAGTAAATCCACATACCGAAACAAACATCTCAGCAGCTTCCGATTCACACTGACTTTAATGAAAGGTGACGTGAGTTTCAAAAAAACACCATAAAAGTAATGCACTTTGCACATTCTAATGACCAGATTTACAGCTTCTGGCAGATTTCTGGATAATTTTAGTTATTTGTAGAAGTTTCTCATTCAGACACCAAATTAACGAGAGAAAATTATTTAAATTGAACCATGCAACGTGATTTACACCGACCTGTAGACAATTTACTAGTATTTGCACAATTACTTCATACCCAAAAAGGCACGTCCTAGCTCACTTTGCTCCTGTCATGCTGTGAGAGTTGCTAAGAGGAGGAAAACAGAGAACAAACAAAGCGTTGTAGAAAGTAGAGACAATTTTCTCCACTTTTGCTCATTAGGAATGCCAGATGTTACCCAAACATATTGATTACCATCGGCTCAGTTTATTTGTTAACCCAACCCTAGTTTGTCCTTTTTTTGGTAGATTGTCATTATGGAAATGAGCTGCAATGCTCTTTAAATCACGTCAATAGAACCCACAGAATTTTCCACTCCCATTGGCGGTTTCATAGAAGTGTGGTCTCATGCTAATTTGCCCTATTTAGTAATGTCTGAAGACAAATATAGTTCCTCAGGATTGATTTCAGTGATCTCAAATGACAAAGAAGCTTGTTTGACTCTCAACAAATCGAATACACAGCAAATTTCTGGAGTTGAAAAATTAGGAGTTAGGCAAAAAAGTGTGAAAGAGTACATTTTTTTGAGTTTATTTTTAAACTTTAACACGATTTTGTGTTATGGGATACCCCTTGCTGTGTTGTATTTTGGAGTTCATTCTCTGGTGTTCAGAAACGTGCTTTAACTCCTTACTGGAGTTAAATTTTTAGAAAGTCCGCCATTACACAACTCTGCCGAGCAGCACATGAGAACTGGAGTTATGTTCTTCTTTGTGAGGTAGGTAAAAGTGCATTGTTATACAATTCTAAAAGCTTTTTCTAAATGTTGGATGTTTTGTAGCAGAGGTGTGTTTTGCTGTAGCTGTTTCATTTTGTACTGTGAGGCTAGTGACTGCATGTGGCTAACTTAGCATAGCATGTTAGCTTTTCCAATGTGGCTGTTTTGTGCAGTTTTAAAAAAAAAATGTTGTGGATTTGAACAAGCTAACACTAGCTAATAATCTTTTCTTCCCCTGTGTTTCTGCTATGTGTTCTGCTGTCAAAAAGAAGTGGTAGGCCTACTTGATCAGATGGAGAAACCTGCTGTTCACATTTCAAATAGGCTAACTTACACAACGAGGTAATGTCAATATCTTTTATCCAGCAATAGAGCTTTATGTCTGTAAGATTTAATATGTGTAATATTGCTCATGAAATGTTTTGGATTGTATCATGATTTAGTCGTGACCGTGAGAGTATGCTGTTTTCAGCTATATTTACATTACATTTTCAATCACACTAACATAAGTTGTTAAATAACATTTATCTTTTTTATTTTAGGCCACGATGCTGATAAAAGTGCAATTTGGAGGCAAGAAAAAATATATTAAACTGGAAGAAGATTGTTTCTTGGATTTTTTCAGTGCGGGTGAGTTTTAGTGTAACAGAGTTTTTTTTTTTAAATTATAATAATAATAACAGTCATTTTGAAATTTATTTGATAAATTATACATTGTTGTTATGTTGTAGTCCAGCACAAGTTTGTGATACCAGAGGATACAGCATCGAAAGTCACAGATGACCATGGCATAGAGGTGGATGAGGATGTATTTCAAGAACTTGCAACAACCAAAGAAACATGTCATCCACACTAATGATGGTAGGTTATTTAAGATCATTTTTATAAATTTTGAAAGTTGGTCTCATGACTCAAAGTGAAAGTGTGCATTTCAGAACCATTTACTGACACGTGTTGTTGTTGTTTTTTCATCAGATTTGACTGTCCTGCAGCAAGGGGCTGTTAAAGTGCCCTCCTACCCAAGTATGACAGATACATTGTCTGTGTCAAGCAGTTTGAGCAGCAGTGATTCTGGATCTCAAATTATTCAACCTTTAATGGGCAGTGTCCAAAAAAATGTAAGTTTTTTTTAAACTTCCATATACATAGAAATTATACCGTAAACATTACAAAATAACGTTACAAAATGAATGCATTGTAAAGTAAAACATAGTATAAACACAGTTATTAGATTTAGTTTTTTTTGTTAAAAAAATGTTAATTTTGGTTATCTTTCTAAATACTTTTTTTTCTTCGTTTCAGAAAATCGAGCAAATTCTAACTTCAAAGCCAGCAGAGTTGACTGTGATTGAGGAGTATGACAAGATATTTTTTTACTGCTTTTGATTCCTGTGAAGTTAATTTTATATAATGTAATGTGTTGATTGTCTCATGCAATTTTACTAAGTCATTGGTTTTAGTTGGCACTAGCTGCTAACATATATTAATTGTAAATGTTTTGCTGTTAGATTTAATGCTTTGATGACAATTAATTTCAAAGTGTGTACATCGATGGAAATTCTAAATCTAATGTGTGGATTTGCATGAATAAAAGCAGTAAGTAAAGAGTATTGCATCAGTTCAGTCATTTTCATATATATATATATATATATATATATATATATATATATATATATATATATATATATATATATTTGTTTGAAGTACACTTTAACTCTAAAAAGTGTTACATTTTAACATTGGTAAGGAGTTTATATTATACCCAAATGTAAAAGTACTCTCTGTAGGAATACAATTTTAACTCCAGAAAGTGTTATAATCTAACTCCAAAAAATGTGTTAAAATTCTACTCCAAAAGCAGAGTGATTTTAACTCTGAATGGGAGTACATTTGATGGTCACGCATGTACACTCAGATTGAGTTGATTTTGAATCCCAGGGAGTTTATTCCAAAGACCAGAATTTGCTGTGTAGTGTTAAAAATGGATTGCATGGTCACCATTTACTTTCATTGTATGAAATGAACAAACAGAACTTTCCACTCCCATTGGCGTTTTCGTAGAATTGTGGTCTCATGCTAATTTGCCCTATTTAGTAAAGTTTGAAGATAAATATAGTTCCTCAGGAAAGATTCCAGTGATAGCAAATGACAAAGGAGCTTGTTTGACTCTCAACCAGTCAAATAGTGTTCAAAATGCATTGCATGGTCCCCATTTACTTTCATTGTATAAAATGAACCCACAGAACTTTCCACTTCCACTTGCAGCTTTATTTAGATTGTGGCCTCATGCTAATTTGCCCTATTTAGCAAAGTTTGAAGACAAATATAGTTCCTCAAGAATGATTTTAGTGATAGCAAATGACAGAGGAGCTTGTTTGACTTTCAACCAGTCAAATAGTGTTCAAAATGCATTGCATGGTCACTATTTACTTCCATTGTATGAAATGAACCTACAGAACTTTCAACTCCCACTGGTGGCTTTATTTGGATTGTGGTCTCATGCTAATTTGTCCTATTAAGTTACTCTGAAGACAAATACAGCACCTTAGAATTGATTTCAAAGATACCAAATGAAAATGGATCTAGTTTGACTCTCAACCAATGAAAAAGTGTTTAAAATGCATTATAATCCACCTATTTATAAAATACGGTGCTTGAACATTCTGATAAACCTCTTATTTTGTGGTCTACAGAAGATAAGAAGTCATACAGGCTTTAAAAATATAAATTTTGTGGTGCGCAGACGCCAGTCAAGTAAGACCAGAGAGAGTTTTGAACAGACTCCTTGAGTACTGCATCAATAGAGATCACAAAAGTAGCACTGAGAGTTCCCTCTGGAACATACAGTCTCATTTTTATCAGCGATGGGAGAGAAGTGATGGAGAGGAAGAAAAAAAGAGGGAGAGAGCGTCCTTCAGTGTCACACAATTCTAAATCCTTTAATGACGGCAGTTCAGCCATAAAAATATCAGGGAGAATTAATATACACACATATATTCCCGCATCTAGGCAGACGGCAGATCATTTCAACAAAAGACGCCAGACACCTTGATTTGCGGCGAGACACCAAAGGGAGTGTAGAGAAAGTGCATTATACAAGCTGAGATGAGAGATGTGAAGAGAAGGGGGGGGGGGACATAAAGTCTATTATCTGAGTCTGGGTCATTCTGGAAAATAATGTCTTTTGTTAAGAAGCTTTCAGAAAGATTTATAGCTGATGCATTAAAGCAACTTCCACTGCAAGTTATTCATAATTATAACAAACAAACAACCAAGCGCTTCCTATGCAAAATAATAAATATTCATTAAACAAAAAAAAAATGTATAATAATAATAATAATAACACTATACAAACTAACAGATGAAGGCCAAATTATTAGCCCCCTGTGAATTTTTTTTCTTATTTAAATATTTCTCAATTGACGCTTAACAGAACAAGGAATTTCACCGTATTTCCTATAATATTTTTTCTTCTCGAGAAAGTCTTTTTGTTTTATGTCAGCTAGAATAAAAGCAGTTTTTAATTTTTTTTCAAAACCATTTAAGGTCAATAATATTTGCCCCCCTCCCCCCCTTTAACCCTAGTTCACTGTTCAAATTGACTACCCTTTTGTTATGTTGGAGATGAAAACATCAACTGAATTAATTTGCTGTAAAAATGCATCAGATAACTTTTTTACCCTCAGTCCTGACCAAAACTACTGGATGTTTAAAGAAAATACAGGATTTTAACTCTTTAATTGCCAAGTTCATAAATGATGTCACTGATTTGGTGAAAACACTTACAAAATGACGTATTTTCAATATAAAAAGTAATTGTGGACTGGATTTTGTTTTACCTTTTATCACAGTCTTGGACATGTGAACAATTAATAACAACATTGGCCTTGTTGCATTGATAGATTTTCATTTTTCCCCCAATTTACTGTTGGTGGCGGTTTTGCCTCATTGACTTCCATTATAACCAAATATATATAAATATATACAAATATAAACAAATGTGTTGGTGCATAAATACACAGTCTTTGTTTTTGTTTACTCCATGTAGTTCTGAGAGCTGAGATGTATATTTAGATTTTCTCAGACAGTGTGTAAAAGGTCACTTTCACATACTCAAAGACACACATAAACATACTTTAATTTGCTCTTACTCCATTTAAAATCCAGAAACTAAGGTCCTTTTTACACAGGCCTATCTAAAGGGTTAATGGTGCTAACTGATGATCAACAGTAAAAATGACAAACTTTACCTCTTCCTAACAGGGAAAACCCCCAACAATCAAAAATGCATGAATATAGTATCATGGTTTTGCAATTAAAAAAAATGGTTATAATGGAAGTCAATGGGGCAAAAACAGCCACTAACAGTAAATTAGGAAGAAAAAAATAACCATCAATCGAAAATAATGCATCAAAGGCAATGATGTTTCACATATTCAAGACTTTGATAAAAGGTTAAAAAAAAATCCAGTCCACAATTATCATTTACATTAAAAATATGTAATTTTGTGTGTTTTTTCACCGAATCAGCGAAATCATTTATGAATTTGACAATTAAAGAGTAAAAATCCTGTAATTTTCTAAGCAATTCAGTATTTTTTTCAGGACTGATGTTGATTAACAGATTCATGCAAATTAAAAAAATAAAATAATAATAATAATATTATATATATATATTATATATATATAAAACACAGAAAACATTTTGGCCAAATTAAGACTTAAATTCACCCCAGAGTTGATGAAATCATCCCCAACTGTACATAAGCAACTGGGCTAAGCAGTTTTTCCCAGACTGTCTGCAGAACAAACCACTTTTATACAATGATTTGCCTAATTACCCTAACCTAATTAAGCCTTTAAATTGCACTAAAAGCTGAATACTAGCACCATAAAAAATATCTAGTAAAATATTATTTACTGTCATCATGGCAAAGACAAAAGAAATCAGTTATTACAAATTAGTTCTTAAAACTATTGTGTTTAGAAATGTGTTGAAAAATTCCTCCGTTAAACAGAAATTGAGAGAAAAATATACAGGATGGCTTATAACTAATTCTGAATTGAACTGTATGTAAATGATCTCCAATTACACATTTCGTGAACCTTCTCACCTCATGTTGAAGGTCAATCGTAAAATCCGATTTGGGAGGCTCATAATTCACACGTTCTGCAGTTCTGAGACAGCAAACCAAATGGAATCTGTATTAGAGTACATTTGCAGCTGAAGCACGTAAGAAACACAGAGGTGAAATCTGACCGCTTAGCCAAGGGGCAGCTGATGGCCCAGCCAGCCATGAAGTCAGGGTAAGCGAAGCTGTAGGGGTCTTCTGAGAAAGCATAGTGGTGGATGATTGTTGGTTCATCATCATGGAGGGATCTGCCCAGAAACCACTCCTACAGAGAAAAGACACATGAGGCTTCGGATTAATCTGCCAAGTCTTGTTTCAGGCTGCTCTTTCATTACCTCAAGTCAGCAGGAGATGGTTTTATGTACTGTGTTGACATATCTTCCGTTTCTCCGGGGAATGTTAAGTTAAAAAGCTAGTTCACTCCAAAGTTAAACTTTTATCATCACTTACTCTCTTCCCATGCACTTCTAAAACTAAAAAGGCCTAGAACTTTCAATGTACAAATAAAATAAAACAAATATACACTCACCGGCCACTTTATTAGATACACGTCCAACTGCTCATTAACACTAATTTCTAATCAGCCAATCACATGGCAGCAACTGTGATATGGTAGAGCGGAAGATTGGCATCATGAATGTGCAGCAGACAAATCTGCAGCCACTGCGTGATGCTATCATGTCAATACGGACCAAAATCTCTAAGGATTTTTCCATTACCTTGCTGAATCTGAACCATGAAGGATTAAGGTAGTTCTGAAGGCAAAAAGGGCCCCAACCCGGTACTATTAAGGCATACCTAATAAAGTGGCCAGTTTATGTGTATATTGATATGTATGTGTATGGATATGTATGCCTATTTCTACAGTACTTTACTTTTATACTCTGGCTGCTGTAACGGAGAAATTACCCCACCGTAGGATAAATGAAGGTATCAATTTAAATCCTGTAACATTGTTACACTGTAACATTGTCCTGTAACATTGCCGATCAATGCTTATATAAAACCCTGAAGGTCTGTTCATGCTTGTATTTAGTCTGGACCAAAAAATTAATAAATAAAGCTAATTATACGATACAAAACACTTACTAAACAAAGCAAATCAGAGCAAGAGCTAAACAAAATAAAGATGCTAAAAATCTATTCTATCATGACCAATGTAAACATAAATCAGCGTAAATCAGGTTGCATACTATTGCAATAATGTACAACAGAATAAAAATTCTGTGTATAGCCCTTAAACCATTATGACTTTCTTTCTTCTGTTAAACACTAAAGATCATTTGAAGAAATCTGAAGACATTTAACCATTGACGTATGTACATAGACTAACTGACAAAAGTCTTGTCGCCTATCCAAGTTTTAGGAACAACAAATAATAACTTGACTTCTAGTTGATCATTTGGTATAAGAAGTGGAGTTTAGTCTAGATAATGCTTATTTGACCAAAATAAAATAAGATCATGCCTTGATTTTTAATTATTTAATTAGGAGAGTAAGGTCTGACTTTGCTTAGACAAGAGTCTTGTCACTTAACAGAAATAATATACAGTATAGAATATAAAGTCATGCGGCAGTGGAAAAAGAATTAATATTGTGTATGACTCCCATGAGCTTGGATGACTTCATTCATACATCTCTGCTATGAATTAAATAATTTATTTAATTAAGTCATCTGTAATGGCAAAGAAAAAGATCTTGCAGGACTCCCAGAGTTCATCAAGATTATTTGGATTCATCTTCAATGCATCCTCCATCTTACCCCAGATATGCTCAATAATGTTGATGTCTGGGGACTGGGCTGTGCAATCCTGGAGCATCTTGACCTTCTTTACTTTCAAGAACTTTGATATGGAGGCTGAAGTATGAGATGGAGCGCTACCCTGCTAAAGTATTTCCCCTTTCCTGTAGTTTTGTAATGTAATGGGCAGCACGAATGTCTTGATACCTCAGACTGTTGATGTTGCTATCCACTCTGCAGATCCCTCACATGCGTCCATACTGAATGTAACCCTAAACCATGATTTTTCCTTCACCAAACTTAACTGATTTTGTGAGAATCTTGGGTCCATGTGGGTTCCAATAGGTCTTCTGCAGTATTTGTGATGATTGGGATGCAGTTCAACAGATGATTCATCAGAAAAATCGACCTGCCACTTTTCCAAATGATCAACTAGAAGTCACGTTATTATTTGTTGCTCTTACAACTGAGATTGATGACAAGACTTCTGTCAGGTAGTGCAGTACAAAACCACAAATACTATGGAAGTCAATGGTTACAGATTTTCAGCTTTCTTCAGTATATTTTCTTTTATGTTCAGGAGAAAAGTTTTTAACAAGTAACTGTCCATGGTATTTTTTTTTTAGTTTTTGTTAATTGTCCATCTCATACGCTTTAGACTCAACTCATTTTACTAAACTCATTCCTACTCTCATTTTAGACTTTTTAGACTGGTAAGGCAAATTATAGTAACTGAATAATAGCTAAAAAAATATTTTGAACAACTTCACATTTCTTGAGTAAGTCTCAGTTTACACTCAGCATCCATAAACAACCAAAAACATTGATCTTTTTAAGTTTTGGGATTTGAGTTCAATGTTTCAAGAAATCAAAAAGAGAATAAAAGCTCAAATAAATAAATGAATAAAGTCTCAATAGTCTGTCAGTGTAAAGACCTTTTGTGTTTCTTTCTGTAGTGTGTTTGTATGAAACTTCAGCTTCAGCTTAGCTGTAAAAAGCAGTGAAAACTTCAATCACAATGACTTTAGAATCATAGATCAAGGGTCTGACTCACAATACAGAAAGTAGACTCTCAAGTAAAATCAGCATACAGAAAACAATCAGAGTTCTCATAACAGAAAGCCACTAATCAAATGCATTGACCTTTCCATCCTCATTTACAGAGTAATTCAGCAACCTTAAAATTAGATTTTCAGTGCATTCCATTTTGAAGGGCTCATCTCTATGACCTAATTGATTTGAAGGGTTTACCCACCAGAATGACAAAGTCGAAGGAACGAAGGGTGTAGGGGTCAAAAAGAGTCAACTTAATGAGATGATCAAGAAGATGTGCCCTTGTCTCACTTTTTGTCTGCTGGTTGACACCTAAAAAACACGCTCAGAATGATGAGTACATTGTGCAGGCTGTGCCTTTCGTACTTGCTTATTTGATACAATTTATGTTATAATTATTTTATTTAGAATTTATGTAAATGTTACAGTAGTAACCTACAGACTATACTATGCTACTTTTAGACTAAAACATTTATAGGTAAAGTCTTGAGCATGGAAAGTCTGAGCAGGGACGTTGTTTGGTGTCATTCACTTCACTTAATTCAGAAGGGCTCAACCCTATGCTTCAATACCATCAGAGGGAACACCCTCCAAAAGAATTAAGGTATAGGGATAAGCCATTGCTAATGGAACCCATTGCCCATATGCTTATTTTATGTGGCTGCCATTTTAAAAACAAAAGTGAGGCTTTGGTGAGAAGGAAGCCGGATGTAGAGGACAAGCACTATAAACATTGCAACATTATGCAGTGAACTACAAACCTCCAGCTGTTGCTGCGACTTCAAAATGCAGATATGGTGTGTGAACATCACTTTAATATCATTCAGTTTAGTTTAATTTAAACAATTAAAAGCATATTAGGCAACAAACAGTAATAAAGAGTAATAAAGCTTAAGTGTCCTCCTAGACTTCAGTCTACGGCACCATGGGGACGCTTCCCTGCTTCAGCCAATGTAATCTGGAGAGTGATAAAACAATGCAGTCCTGTGTAAAATGTTTGGAGCACACCCTCGTGTTCTCTGTAATAGTGTTTTCATGATACTGAATTTCATTACCAATCAGTACTACCGATCACATGCTCAACAGAAATAACTATGATTAGCTGTGAAGGTCATCAGTTCACCACTTTTCACCGAGTGCAATCACAGTTTAAGTGTTTAAGAACTTGCCGTTAAAGAACTCACTCAAATTTTTGTGGGAAATGGACTTTTTTTATTTCAGTACCGATTGGTACTGTAATTCAGTATCTTGACAAGTCAAATATAGTGAAAAAATCAGTTAATTAACTTGAGGTTAATTAATAGCATCTAAAACATGTGTTTGGGAAAGATAACAAGAAATAGCTAGTGCCATTTCCCTTAACTCCAATATCCCTTTTTATTTATTCAGAACAAACCTTCAGGTGACTCGGAAAGCAGTAAAATTATAAATTTTGTGTCACTATCTTTTCGCTGATAAGATATAAAACCAGGTACACAACAATACGCCACAACAGACACCTGTGTGACTCCAGACCAGAGGTGAAGATCGTCAGGTTCATTCGGGTTCAGGCTTAATTTCTATCATTTTAGTCGGAGTCAGGCCGGGCTCCAACTTGCATGGTAAATGAATGGTCATGTGATGCATTTCGAGTAGCGCAAGAAAGTTATCAAATCGTTTGTTACAACATCAAAAGCCATCCATGCAAAGGTGAAACAAATGATGACAGAGAAGTTAAAAAAAACTGAATTTTGCAGAGTAGGAAAATGTACAGCAAGCTGACAGAGAAAATGACGAGGTCACTTGCTACATTGAAACAGCTGTCGTGGAAAATAAAATGGATGTTCTTGGCTAGTGGAAAACGAACAAACAATTCTACATAAAATTACTGGCAAAATCAGCCAGATCACTAGTACTATGCATCCTGGCCAATAAAAGCAGTAAAAGGGTGTTTAGTGCTGCTGGACGCACCATCAGTGAGCGCAGTAAAACCCTCTTGTCACGATTACCAGCGATCATTTCCCATAAGATCGCTGGTTTGCACCTACAAATACAATGGACTACAAATCCGCAATTTCTGGACTACATATTCATACATGCACTCCGGTCACACTCACACATGCTTCCTCATCTAGACTGATTACATTCACACCACCTGAGGATTGTCAGAGACTGATTAACACACACTATTTAAGCCACACATGCACCCCTTCAGTTTGCCGAGTCTTGTTATCTGTCACTAGTAACACTACAACGCTTTTCCCAGTCTTGTTATCTTGTGTACCGACCGTTAGCCTTGTTAGCCTCTTTGTCTTTGCCTGCCGCCTGCCTTTCTGACCTCTAGCCTGTATTCGACTGTGATTCTGAACTGTCTCTAAATACCTGTTTGCACCTGTGTTGACCATCGCTTGCCTAATTTGAATAAACCTGCATGTGGATCCAAAACTCCAGTTCACTCCCGTGGTTACACATCTACAGTGGATTTAATAACG